TCAATAACAAGGAATTCAACACGAGTGAAGTAGTCCCAAATAAAGGCAAGTCAACAAATATATAGGTTATCTAAACTCCTTCCACTACTAAAAAATCAGGTTTTAACAACGGACAATTCTGTAGATAAACAGAAAAATCCGTCGCTAATCTCATTTAGCAACGGATTAGCAATGGAGTATCAAGAAATTCTGCTAGCTACGAGCGTATTAGCAACAGATTAGCGACGACATTCGTAGCTAATTCCAATTTTTTTTGTAGTGTTCTAAGGTTGGACAATTTCGAGGATATTCGACAATTCAATTAAGGAAAGGTGATCTTAGCTTCACTTAAATAATTTCAGGAGGGATAATAATAATTCTCAAATAAGACAAGCAGCTATGAAAAGATAGCATGACAAAAGGAGAGGCGAAATTCTTCAATTAAATCAAATAGGAGTCAATTAGGAAATAAGAGTGAATCGTGAAGTAACTAATTCCAATTAAGCATGTAGAGGTGAAATTAGTAAATAGGAAACTCAGTCATGTCAAGAACACATTCATACACAGTGAATATAAAGACCTAAGAACCCTAAAAGGCTAATTTTTCATGGATAAGTCCGAGCACGCACTCGCACCTCGCGTACACGAACTACAATCAACATAGAAGCCTCAATTCCTAAGGGAAAGTCCTCCACAAAAGGTTAGGCAAGATATTTACCTCAAAGACGATAAACTGATACTCTAAAATGCACTTCTCGAGTGAAAAGACCTCCAGACGGTGCAAATCTAACTAAATTAACTTCAAAGCACAAATAAAATACCATAAGACACTATTCCAGATCATAAATTCTCACTTTCTAACAAAATCCAAAAATGGGTCCAAAAGTCGACCCCCGGGCCCGCACCTCAGAAACCGACAAATTTACAAAAACCGAATACCCATTCCGATATGAGTTCATCCATACAAAATTTATCATATTCCGATACCGTTTGGTCCCTCAAATCACGATTTTTCATTTTAGAAATTTTCTTTCAAAACCAACATTTTCCTCAACTCAAAACACAAATTATATGATGAAAATAAAGATAAAATCATGGAATATGTTAGATTCTAGGTGAAGAACACTTAACCAATCGATTTGTGTGAAAAACCCCTCAAAGAATCGCTCGAAATCGAGCTCCACAAGTCAAGATATGATGAAAATGGTGTAACCCTTGATCCCTAATAGTTGTTAATCCTTCATCGACTGACCCTATACGGGCATCTGACTCGACATCGAGGCCCCGCACACACTAGCTCGAGGCCCCGATTCTCAACCTTTTTGTTGGGTTTTAAAAGCTATCTTCAAGCTCTTGTCTTATTTTCTAACCTCGTCACGTAGCATCTACTGCTTAACAACTAGCATAAAAATAGATCACATATTTTTAGAACCACACAAATAAGAGATGATCTAGTGTCGAACCGTTATGATTGACTTCTTGCGAAGAAGTCCACAGCTATACCGATTACATGATCCGTTCATTGAAATCTCCCAAATGTGAATATTGATACAATATAGTGGTTACCGAACTTATTACTGAATTGTTAATTGTATTATCTACAAGAAAAGCATGATGAGGCTGAAAATTATTTATTGTTTCTGAAAAGGCATTTTTATTTTCTGTTTGAGATACTAGCATGTTTTCTGACTTGTCCCCCTTAAAAAAGTTGCAGTTAAGTGTTATTACTCATGAGCTAGCGACTCATTCCCCGCTAATTTTTTTTTTACAGAAACAACAGTTGACGCGGGCGAGAATTTCGTTAATTAGAGCGCACGGGTTGACAGTTCTTGGTGAGCCTCGCACTTGTTCGCGTGGGCGGAGATTTTTATTAATTGTTATGGTCTTTTCTTTGAACTCCTAGAGTCGCTCCATGGTCATTCTTTTAGTGTCTTGAGTATTCTTCGTTATTATAGACTTATGTTGAGTATTGCTCATTCTTATCAAATTTGGAGATAAAGTAGTATTTCTATTTGTTAGTGGGTGGACTATTCAAGGTAGCTATTTGTTAAGGAGGAGGATGAGGTATTATGCGTGTAGGGCCTCTCCCTACACGCATTAATGGTAGAAGTAGTAGGAGCATTTAAAGCTTTGTAAACTAGTTTTTGAGAGTTGAGATACTTACCTGTTGTTGGATATCTGCGAGAACTCTTACCCATAACTTACCATTTCTTCGGAATTGTCCTCTCATAGCACGATGGAAGTGTCCAATTATAGCACGACGCGCTGCTTCAATGGCTCGATATGAAAGACGACCAGCTCTACCACTTTTAGTGCCATATCTTCCAAAACCAAGTTGTGTACCGTCCGGTTTGCAACCCCGCCCGGCAGGTCAAACATCTTGCTTTTCACCCTGAAAGATTCTCTTGAAAAACTTGACTTGCAAGCGGAGAATGACAAGTCTCACCCACTTTTTGGGCCGGCTTCGTGATTTTATGCTTGGAAAATGCTCTTGTATCGCTCGGCCCCCTTTCTTTTATCAAAATATAGCATAACCAGAGAACAATCGAAAAGATTCTGGCAATATATGAGAATGATTCATCACCATCTTCGCGTATTAAAACAAGAATGTCCTCATAGATTTTAACATCTATACTGTACCTGGTACTATATTTTTGTGCAAAGAATTTTTATTTTATTTTCAACAAGATCTCTTGTTCTTTGGTTTCTCCGCCTGGTGAAGGACACCACCTGCCATTGCTCCTCTGGTGGGGGAGATGTAGTTGTGTCGTTAGTTCCTTGGTTTTGCACCTGGGCAATAGGTTGTTGCAGTTTCTCTATCCTTGGTGAAGTAAGTATGCATGAGGTAGCTGTATGCCCAAGGTGGCCATAGTTCTTGCATAGGAAATTTATTCCTTCGTATACAAGCTGTTGAAGGTTCACTGTTGAACAGGTTGATCTAGTGGTAGTTTAACACAAAGACGTGCATATCTGCACTGTATAATAATCTCCGGCCCCATCTGGTACATATTGAATACGGTTGTAAAACACCTTGCGTGCAGATGTTGGATGTTGATGATGCTGTGATCGATGGGAGCTAGAATTGAATACGTGCCTGCATTCCGGTAGTAGCTGCCTCTTGTTTATGGTAGATTTAGATTTATGAAAAATCGGTTTATGTACATTTCGAACAGATGATATTTTTATTTCTATCCAGCTTTGTAAAGTCTTATCTTAGAAGCTTATGATTTGTAATACTAGTCCTTCAGAAATGTATAAGATTCAAATATTTTCTCGTACTTATTTTGTCGTATTAATAGCCCGTTTGGCCAAGCTTCTAAAATCAGCTTATTTTGAGAAGTGCTTTTCTCAAAAGTACTTTTAAAAAAGTGCTTTTGGTGAGAAGTAGTTTGTGTTTGGCTAATTAATCAGAAAAGTACTTTTGAGCAGTAATTAGTGTTTAGCCAAGCTTTTGAAAATTGCTTCTAAGTGTATTTTTCTCAAAAGCTCTTCTCAGAAAAGTGCTTTTGGAGAGAAGCTACTTTTTTCTGTTTCTCCAATACTGCTTCTGCTTCTCCTCAAAAGCACTTTTTTTCCTTCCAAAAGCTTGGCCAAACACCTTAATTTTTGGCCAAAAGTGCTTTTGGTAAAAAAAAGCACTTTTGGCCCAAAAAAAAGCTTGGCCAAACAGGCTATAAATTTCATTTGAATTAGATAGAAGCTAATCGGCTTACCTATCGGGTTGAGTTAGGTGCCATTACGACTAGTTGAATTTTGGATCGTGACACTCCCAAAGTAAAAATATAACCTGTAGTAGAACAGGAATCACCAGATAAAGTGTTCCAATCTGCATCAGAAAAGCCTTCGAGTACAGCATGATATTTTTTATAAAGTAAATCATAGATTTTTGTACCAAGTAAATACCTCATAACTCTTGTTATGGCATGCCAATGTTCATTACTTGGCTTGCTTGTAAACCCGCTACGTACTCCTAGTGTATATGTAATATCAGGCGAGTAATCAGTCACGTATCTCAAGCTTCCAATTAGGCTAGCATATTCCTTTTTGATTTATCACATCATTGTCACTTTGTACAGGAAATAAGTGAACGCTTGAATCAAAAGGGGTTAGAAAACTACCACCAACCACCGTCTCTAGTCGACATTTACCCGTTAGACATCATCACCAACAACTATCATATTTTAAAAAACCATATATTTTATTGATAGAATATTAGATTAGTTAGTATTTCATTTGAATTTTATGTTTATTAATTTTCAAATAAAGATAAATTTTATACATTCAGATGTTAAAAATCAAACAGTCTTATTATTTCTATTCGGATATTAATACACATCTTAATATATTCAGATTCAGATGTCTTAATCTTAAAACACATCTTAATATCCAGATGTGTATTCAGATTCAGACGTCTTAATCTTTAAAAAAAACAAATGAGGCCTTACTTCGTTTCTTTAGTGTGCCCTTGTAAGCATAATAGCATTTCATTCATGAGATGGTAAATTTCTCAAATCTGAGATCAAATTGTGCAGATTTGCAAAGCAAACTGTACTTTGTTGCCTTTCAATTCATCATACTTTTAACCTACCGTAATTCACTTCCTTTATTCAAGATTGGTACCGATTACGCTTTGCCTTTCAATATAGCAACAACTAACAAAGTACAACAACAACAACAACGACCCAGTGAAATCCCACAAGTAGGGTCTGTGGAGGGTAATGTGTACGCCTTACCCCTACCCCAAGGGATAGAAAGGCTGTTTTTGATAGACTCTCGGCTCAAGTAGACGAAAAGAATAAAGTACTTTACAAACAATTTTCATTTCCCCATGGTAAAAAATAAACACAAACTAACTTCCAAGCATATCCACTTGACTAAGGAAAGGGCAAAATCTACAGAGATTAATGGAACTCTAGGAAAAAGGTATTAACAGCATACAACCATCTATCACAATGATTAATTAACTGGAAAGAATGCACAACCAGATAATAAAAGAATAAAAGTAGAACAACTAGTTTAACTTTTAAGCATTGACCTTAACACTAAATTTAAGAATTTTAGCACCATATCCTAAACCAGGAGGCTCTCGAGCATTCGAAAACCCAGGAATTGACACTCTAAAGTTAGAGCAGGTGTACCAATTTGACAAACCAGTAATGAATGATTAGAAATTTTCATAGATTACACCCTGTTAGAATGGATTCTACATTCAACTCAAAGAGATTAAGTAACATAGTTTGGAGCCAATTGAAGAACATAAGTCCATATATTTATGTTTAGAGTCAACTTGTGAACAAATCCAATGTAGACTGAATGCAATATAGGCAAATAGACTAAGATAAGAGTGTTAATAAATTCAACATGTCAAAAGCAAACATAACTAAAAGTTTGGTCTTTTTGACTTGTGCTTTTGCTTCCACATACATATTTCTAATTGAAAAGCCATCTTTGTGCAGATTATCAAAAGGAACACTTCAACAGAATGTGCTTTATGCTATATTTGCATCTTTCCTTTTTCTTTACAAATTTTTCATAATTACTCTTTACCTGATTGATAAAAACAATAGTTATGTACCACTAAAGAACATCTTAAAGCTTGCCTCTTACTTTGTACTCGCCCGAACACTCCTTCCATCCCCGTCGAACAAGCCTAGCTAGACTTTATATTTTGATTTATAACAGTGTTTTCTCGGCTAGCTTATGCGTGCTTTGACTATTCCACCGTATACCTACAATATCTCACCAACACATGAATTGAGTAACTCTGCCCATCAAAACTTAAACAGACGAGAAGAGAACACTGATCACCTATCGTTATTTGTCTGTTTTGGAACTTAAACCTTAATCTCTCATAGTTTTCATCCAACTTCATTGACCACCAGTCCACACTAAAGAGACATATAGATAGCACTAAGATCGCTAAGGCAGAACATTGACAGACATGCTACTATTCAAATTGCAATTTACAAAGACAAAGTGGTCATGATAGCCAGTTTCTTCATAGATAGATTACAAGAAACAGAGGCGGAGGTAGGATTTAGAGTGTATGGGTTCTAAATTTTAAAATAGGAAGACGACCCAAAATCAATATACAACAAGCAAGCAAACTAAAGAACGAATACAACCTCCTCACATTTTTATTTGTATTTGTTTTTCTTTTAATTTATTTATATAAAAACTAGCCCTTGCCTAGTGGATTGCCAAAAAAAGAAAGAACGAATACCGATATTTAATACACATTTAAAAGGCAACGAACTAGACAAACATAATATTTGAATATAAACATTATTATTTCAATTGCACTCGATGACTTGTCATGTTTTGAAAATGATCAATAACCACATCATTAGGTACACTTCAAATACTTCATCCTCTATTTAACAAACTAAGCAGTCTTTCAAAAAGTCATCACCAATTCTGCTTTTCAAGTCATTTTTATTAAATTTCATTGAAGAAAAAGTCCTTTCTACCGTTGCAGTAGAGTGATTAATTTATCTTTAGTTGTTAAGGCTCAACAGAGATTAATGTATCATGTCTTGATACACAAAGATGCAAAATTAGAAAGAAAAGTGTATCCAATTAACTCGCCCATGGATATGTTAATTGGTGAGCTACTCAAGCTACTTCAGTTATCCTTTTATGTAGTGCCATCTACTAATTTGCCCGATAGCCAAATTTAGATGCTAACAAAGCCGTAGCCAATTACTTTATTAAAAAAAATGACAACAATCAATTAAAAATAAAGGTTGATAATCTGAAAATCTCTAAATTCACCATTTTGTTGAGGATATTATCTGCACTAAGAAACGAAAATAAGGAAAGTAGGACCACATACCTTGTCGATTTGTCGAGCTTGGCCTTTGAAATTTTGGAAAGCACAAAAGCACAAGTTGCAAAGAGAATAGAGGTCAAAATGTAGGACAACCCTAGAATGAAAGATTAAAAATTAGATTTTGTATGAATTATTACACAAAATATAATAGGAGCAAAAAAAGAATAGAAAAGAAGAAGAAAGAGGGAGAAAGAATATACAGCGTAAAGGAAGAAGGAAGATGCAGTAAAGGCGATAATCAGCAATTGGGGCAGAAAGGCAAAACCCTAGCTTTGTTTGATTTGAGTGCAGTTGAATTGTGAAAGAAAAATGTCTGTTTTGTTTTAGAGAGATATGTGTGTTTGATTTGGAGAAGTTTTATTTTGTGTCTCGTACAACTGACATTAGTTGCATGAACCTACTTTTTGTCTCACAAAATAATCCACTGAATTCTGAGTTCACAAAACTGTGAGACAAAAAATTGCCTCATGAGACACAAAATAAAATTTTCCGTTTGATTTGTGTTTTTCTTTATTAAAAAGGAAAAGAGTTGTGTTTTTCTTTATTAAAAAGGAATAGTAATTCTGAAGCATAAAGGAAACGCTAGTTTGGAACTTTGCAGCTTTGTTGTTTCTTCTATTTCTTAGTATTTATTTTTTCAAAGAAAAAAAGAAAATTTAACAAAATGCAGCGTTGCTTTCTAGGAGATTCAAACCCACGCGTTATCATGACAAACCCAGAAGCTTTACCACTGAACCCAAATATCTTTTGGTACTGGGTTCGGCGTACTAAATATATATAGAAATAATAAATTTTTCAACACAAATATAGGGTTCGGAAAAAGTCACTGGGTTCGCCCGAAGCCGCACACTCTACTGTAGCTCCGCCCCTGACAAGAAATTGAGTCACTTTACACAAATATGGAAATAACTTACAGAAATTTACACTTCATAAATAAACACCAGACAGATCACTGCAAAAAAGCAATTGCAGTTTAAATAGCAGTGAAATGCACAACCCTTAACAGCAGTAACAAGAAGCAAAACAAAAGAAAACAAAAGTTCCTCCTCTTATTAAATTAGAAGACTCACAAAAGGCTCAAGAATGAACAGTTATGTCCACATTCATTTCTTCATGTATCTTAGTCATATATGACTCATTTATCTCCTCTGCATGATTGGCCTCATTGTTAAATTTGAAAATGGCAGTACTGCTCTGAATATTTACACGGTTTTTTAATTAAAGAATGGTGTAGCAAAATACTTGCGAGAACATTAAATTTCAGGAAAACTTTCTCTCTCTAGAATGAGAGCTTCTCTCAGCTAAGGCTGAAAATGGCGAGAAAGCAACGTACTGGAGGGAGAGGGCAACTAGAAACTGTAAATCAACAGAAATACAGGCATGCGAGCAATTCCGCAAACTGAAGATGCAAAGAAAACCAGAAGTATCAATGTGCTACAAGGAGTAATTCCGTTGGAGCTGAAGCAGACACCTATGATGGGATCAGCGCAGACACCAATGGCAACTCCGATAGGTACGCAAACAACTAAGCAACAGTATACTAACAATCAATTACAGTCTAGGGGGGAACAATCATGGACAGACAAGGTGGAAATTGAGGAGGAACCGATAGGTAAAATTCAAACCCTAGGTACAAATGGTAAATCCTGGAGTAAAATAGTTGGAAATACACCAGTAACTGAGGGATTTGACCTAGAAGAAGTGAATCCCACTGCTATGTCAAAATAACGATGGAAGATGTGAAAGAGGAAATAGAATACTGGCAAACAGCGGTTGTATGTTTTATACTGGGATCAAATCCACCATTAACAGTGGTGGAAGGATACTTTAACCGTATATGGAAAGATCTGGGGATTGATAAGGTAGCTCAAATTAAAAAAAGGTGTATACATGGTTAGATTCTACAGTAATGAAGGTCGCACAAAGGCAATTGAAGGGGGAGTGCAGATATTTGATCGAAAACCAGTGATAATTAAGCCATGGAAACCAGAAATGGAGATAACCAATGTAACTGTGGAGAAGGTACCTATATGGATCAGATTAGTGGGCTTAGATCTAAAATACTGGGGGCAAGCAGCTCTAACAAAAATAGCGGGACTGGTGGGGAAACCTGTGAAAGCTGATACAGCAACAACAAGAAAGGAGAAGGTCATGTATGCAAGGGTGATAGTGGAGGTACCTTTGAACAAAACATATCCAGATTCATTGATGTTTAAAAATGAAGTAGGACAAATAATTGAACAAGAAATAGAGTATGAATGGAAGCCTACAATGTGTCAATAATGTAAACTATTTGGCCACACAGACCAGCAATGCAGAAGAGTATAACAAAAAACAGAACAAGGAAGGAAAGAGTGGAAGCCTGTGGAGAAGAAAGAACAAAAGGAAAAGCCAGCTATAGCAGGGGGAAAGCATGGAACAACAAACAAAGGAAGTACAAGGGAAAGCTCTACAAAAGCAGATTATAATGCCAGTAAGAAACTCTTTTTCAACACTGGAGGACCATGAAGAGGAGCAAAATGCAGGGGAGAGTAATAAAGAGCAAGCAATAACAGACAGGAAAAACAAAGCTAAAGGAAGTACACAAGGTGACACTACTAAACAAGGGGAAAGCAGTTCAACAACAAGCTACCAGAGGGGACTACAAAGGAAAATAGAGTTGGGTCCAGGAACAGGGAGGGGAGGTACAATCCCCAACCCAAATGGATAAATTGAGTTTTTAGAATGTGAGGGGTCTAAACACGCAGGAAAAGCAGAAAGAAATGAACCTTTTCTTACATAATACTAAGGTAGGCCTGTTTGGATTCCTGGAGACAAAGATTAAGAGGCAAAAAGCATCTCTAGCTTCTCTTAATATTTGTAATGGTTGGTCCTTTAGTCACAACTTAGCTCATCATCCAGGGGGGAGAATATGGGTGCTTTGGAAGCCAAGAATTTTCAATATAAACATCACTGTTGTCTCAGCTCAAATAGTGCATTGTGAGGTAGAACATAGAGGGACTCAGCAGAAATTTCAGGTTACATTTGTATATGGCTATAATGACCAAGCTCTAAGAAGACAATTATGGCAAGAGTTAGAGAAAATCCATGGGGTCACTAAGAAACCATGGGCAGTCATGGGGGACTTCAATTGTGTATTGAATAGAGATGAAAGGGTAGGGAGTCCTATCACAGTTTTAGAAATAAAGGAGTTTAAAGAGTGTGTAGGGAGATGCTCATTGCAAAAACTGAAATCCTCTGGATCCTTTTTCACATGGAACAATAAGCATGGAGACACCAGTAGAGTCTATAGCAGGATTGATAGGGTGCTAGTGAACGGAGACTGGGTAATGAAATTACCAGCCTCAAAAGTTCACTTTGGAAATGAAGGTCTCATGGACCACTGTCTAGCTCTGATTAACTGGGATCAAGGACATCAAATTGGCCAGCACAGATTCAGATACTACAACATTTGGAGTCAAGCTAATGATTTCAAGCAACAAGTGGAAGCAAGCCAGAAAAAGGGGAGTACAGGAACAATGCAGTATAGATTTGTGGGGAAATTAAACAGACTTAAAACTATTTTAAAAGGAATAAGGAGATCTCAGTTTGGGGATGTAGAAGGGAAAGCCGAGCAGGCAAAAGTGATGTTAGAGGAGAGTCAAAAGAAATTATAGCAGGATCCATTAAACATAAGTCTGATTGAAGAAGAGGTAAGATTAGCTAAGGAATACTCATACTGGAACCTGACAAGGAACCAGTATCTTAAGCAGAAATGTAAAACACATTGGCTGAACTTAGGAGATATGAATACAAAGTTCTTACATAGCATGTTGAAAGCTAGAAGAAATGCTAATAGAATCTTTACTATAAAGGATACAGAAGGGAAGATTAGCACTGATATAGAGGGGGTTACCAATGCCTTTGTGAAGTATTACTCTAATCTACTAGGTACTAAAGCTGAGAGTAGAAGAAGGGTATGTAGTGCAACTTTAAAAAGAGGACCTGTAATCTCAAGAGAACAAAGGAGGATGCTGGTTGAAGAGTACACAAGTGCAGAGATGAAGCAAGCTTTGTGGGAGATAGCAGGAGATAAAGCACCAGGTCCGGATGGGTATGTAAGTCAGTTCTTCAAAGATTGCTGGGAAATAATAAGGGAAGATCTTGAAGCAGGAGTGATGGAATTCTTTAAAATAGGGAAATTGTTGAAGGCATGGAATAGCACTGTGCTAACACTAGTCCCAAAATCAGACCATGCAGAATCAGTAGTAGATTACAGACGTATAGCTTGTTGTAATACAATATATAAGGTAATATCCAAGATGCTAACAAACAGGTTGAAGACAGTATTGCCAAGCATTATATCCCCCAACCAAAGTGCTTTTGTGGCTGGAAGGACTATTGCTCAGAACATCTTAATATGCCATGATTTGGTAAGATTGTATAACAGGAAACAAACTACCAGTAGCTGTTTGATCAAAATAGATTTGAGGAAACCTTATGACAAAGTGGAGTGGGAGTTCGTAGCTGAGATGATACACGCACTGGAATTCCCTCAACAATTTATCAAATGGACCATGACATGTATTACAACAGTGCAATACGAAATTGCAATCAATGGAGGCTTGTATGGAAACATAAAAGGGGAAATGGGACTTAGACAAGGGGACCCCATATCCCCTCTGATCTTTGTCCTGTGCATGGAGTATTTCACAAGGTTAATGAATGTTGTTGCATAGCAAGTGAGATTTGAATTCCACACTAAATGCAAACACTTGAGGCTGAACCACTTGTTTTTTGCAGATGATGTGCTCCTTTTTAGTAAAGGGACCTTTCAATCAGTGCTACTGCTTTTAAGAGGCTTAAAAACTTTCTTAGAATGTTCAGGCCTGACTACAAATGCAAACAAATCAAACATCTTCAGTGTCAATATGCGAAGCCATCACCAGAAGGGTCTGTTGGAAATAACAGGACATCAGAAAGGAAATCTGGCATTTAGATACCTTAGTGTACCAATATCAGCTAAGAGGCTATCTAAAATTGATTGTGAAATACTAATAGATAAGATTGCAACCAGAATCAAAGGATGGGGGACAAGACATCTCTCATATGCAAGAAGGGTGCAGCTTGTTAACTCAGTACTACTTCACATTCACAGATATTGGGCAACAATATTTCTGATCCCAAAGCAGGTGTTGAAGAGTATAACTGCTATGTGTAGAAACTTTATATTGGATGGGAAACCTGTCACAAATAAACCACCCCTAGTGGCATGGGATATAGTTTGCAGGGCAAAACATGAAGGAGGATTGGGGATAACAGAAATGATCAAATGGAATGAAGCTGCCATAGCAAAATATGTATGGAATATTGACCAAAAAGCTGACAACCTATGTGTGAAATGGATCAACAATGTCTACTTAAAAGAGATGGACTGGTGGCAGTACAAATGCGCTACTGATGTATGCTGGTATTGGAAGAAAATTTGCCGAGTTAAAGAAATTTTTGCTCCAGGCTACACTCAGAACTTATGGAGCAGTGCCAATGGAGAGTACACAATACAAGGGGGATACAAATGGAGAATGGGGGAGCAGGAAAGCTGGAGATGGAGAAGATGGGTATGGAATCACATGAATTTACCCAAGCACAGTTTCATTTGCTGGATTACGATGCATCAAAGGTTGCTAACAAAATCAAGATTATTTGGTATTGGTATATTAGCCAAGATGATAAGTGTCCAATGTGTGGAACAGGAGAGGAGACTACACAACACTTATTCTTTGAATGTGCATATTCTCAACAATGCCTAAGAGAGGTGCTACAATGGATGAAGATAGGCATCCAAAAGACAGACTTAGCAGGATTATGGAGGAGAGTGACCAGACCAATGAAAGGGAGAAGGTGCAGGGAAGTAGCCACTGCCATACTAGCTGCTTTGGTGTACTGGATATGGAAAGCAAGAAACACTGTGGTATGGGAGTTTAAACTCCCTACACCTACATACACAGTAAGACAAATAAAGCAAAAGTGCAGGTTGCGGAAGATTACCTATATGAAGAGTAAAACAAGTATGCAGGAAAGATGATGGATTGAGAAGATCATGCAGCTATAATAGAATAGATAAATAGGAAGAAATGTATTTTTGTTTGATATCAAAGAATACATAGTTAATATATATGTATATCGGAAGAAATAGGAAAGAAAGTGATGAGGAAAACTTATAACTGTTCTGTGGTGATGAAATAAAAAAAAATTCGCCAAAAAAAAAATACTTGCGATAAGAAATCACCCTCACTAGTTATTTTGGCTAAATCAACACAGATACATAATTCTTCCCTTAGTCCTTAAGATTGTATGAATTTACTTTGGCTTTTATCGGTCACTTATTTACAATGTTGTTCACGCTTAAGGGGAAGAAATAATTTTTATAGTTACAAATACACAACTAATCAATGACCAATTAGCAGACAGCCGTATATATTTACTATTAAAAAATACACAATGTATCTAATATCGGATTATAAAAGCATCAACATATTTATGTCGCTCTTATCAATATTGACGTTTTGGCTCGTGAAGTAACTCACTATATATAGTTACAATATTAGTGATTTGTCTACACTTAAACACAATTGTGGGTAACTAGTCTTTCGCAACACTTCAGGTTTACTTCTTTTGTTAGGTCTCGACTTCTTCGCTATGATCTTCCCAGTAGTTTATATAGGAGCTATAGCCGTTTCATTCCTATTCGTTGTTATGATGTTCCATATTCAAATAGCGGAGATTCACGAAGAAGTATTGCGCTATTTACCTGTGAGTGGTATTATTGGACTGATCTTTTGGTGGGAGATGTTCTTTATTTTAGATAATGAAAGCATTCCATTACTACCAACCCAAAGAAATACGACCTCTCTGAGATATACGGTTTATGCCGGAAAGGTACGAAGTTGGACTAATTTGGAAACATTGGGCAATTTACTTTATACCTACTATTTCGTCTGGTTTTTGGTTTCTAGTCTTATTTTATTAGTAGCCATGATTGGGGCTATAGTACTGACTATGCATAGGACTACTAAGGTGAAAAGACAGGATGTATTTCGACGAAATGCTCTGGATTCTAGGAGGACTATAATGAGGAGGACGACAGACCCACTCACGACAATAAGGAGAAGCAGTGGTTCGAATCCACATCGTGAGACCAGGACAGTGTGGAGAAGCATCGATAAATGCTATTAACATTGATGATACGGCTTAGAGGAATTCCTCTCTTGCTGCCGGACTGATTCCTTTCCTTTTGATGTGGACAAATGGGCATCCCTAGAATCAGCTGCTCTCCTTCCTGTTGGAGGAAGACAATGCGAAAAAATTCATATATTAGTAAGGCAAGGTGATTGTTCGTTGACAACATTGGGGCGTAGCGGATTGACTATTGGGATCTCTTTAGCTTTAGTATGACTATTACTATAGGCGCTGGAGTCAGCTTGTCTGAGTATGTAAACTATGTGGTGGATACGATAACAAATAAGCCTTCTACATCAGCCAATTCTTCTTCCATGAGGGACTTCAATGAAGCAAGATTTTTTGATTTCCCGTTCATCGTATCGACCGACCCAGACCCCGTACCTGTCCCCGATGAAAGTCAGGATGAAACCTGCTTTCATTCTGTTAGATTTACCAATCAATCCTTTTCTAATACGCAAATGATAATTTTTCCCTGAAGATTATTAGTACTCAAATCTAAATGGATCGGATTAGATTTCAAGTATTAATCGATTTCATTATTAACACTTAGTCTGTACTAATTTTTTATGGGATTTTTACATACCTATACTGTCACGGCCCAAAATTCATCAGAGGCCGCGATGGCGCTAGACAACCTCGATCAGGCAAGTCAACATTAAATAATTAATTTAACTCTCATTTTAAAATATTTTAAGAACCATAATTTCCTTCAATTTAACTAGTAGAAAGTAATCATCACTGAATAAATAAAAGTGTTTACAACTTTCAGTATTAAATATCCGATAATCACCCCAGAACCCGATGTCACAATTGCATGAGCAGTCACTACAAGAAATAAATGAAATACAATAACTGTCCGGAATACATATTTAGACAGAAAGTAAATACAGTAATCTGAAGGTGACTTTGCTGGTTGCGGGTCGTCTCGAGAGATGCAGCTCACCTAAGTCCCCGTATCGCCCGTGCTGCTACGCTCACTAGGTCGCTAGAGATACATGTGCATGTGCAATAAAAATGCACAGCAAGTGTAGCATGAGTGCGAAAATAACGTGTGCTCAGTAAGTCTCCCGTCTAATCTCGAAGAAGTAGAGACGAGAGGTCGACTTCGACACTTACTATGGTCCAATAATAATATATCAAGAATATAGCAAATCGAGGATTTATATAAGAACATCAGTAACTTAATAGCATGAAGCAAGTAAAAAATTCTTTTATTAATAGAAAATTTTCAAATTTATTTTCATCATTTATACATTTACCTCAAACCATGGAAGCAATATCATCATTTATAAAATTTCAAGTCAAGCAATACAAGCATGCGCAAATCATGCCGAGGTCGTACGACCCGATCAAATAATATTTAAACTGTGCACTGCCAAAGGGTCGAATGGCGCGAACCATAGATGCATCTATTACCCCGCTCGCGAATCATACATGCAACGCGGTCAAATATAAATAAACACACTAAACAGTCAACCCAGAATCATCAGAGAAACAATTACCCAAAGAAATGACAACTCCTTTTTAACGGTCAAGAAACTGATGTTTAATTCCTCTAGAAATTCTTTTACCAGTTCGAAGTTTTAGCAAATGAACTAAAAAACTTCAGCATGTTTAGACTGATGTTTTGGATAAAACTCATGACAAAACTGTAGAGTGCAAGATATATAACTTCAACATGCATTAGTATAAAGTTTTAGCTTCAATGTAAAACAACTTCATGCTATATTAGCATGAAGTTTTAGCTTCAACATGAAACAACTTCATGCTGCATTTGCATGAAGTTTTAGCTTCAATGTGAAACAACTTCATGCAAGTGTGATTCTGAAGATGAATCTGGATATGTTTCTAATTTTTTGATAAAGCTGCTGAGAGGAGAGGAGGAGATCGTTTTTCACGAATGAGGTTGCAGATCACGCGATTAATGCTTGATGTAGGTTTTATATCTTTTGTCAGGGGTGTAATTGTCATATTATTACGGATTTTTTGTCACTTGGCTAACAAATCAATAATTAAAAAAAAGGTACAGGTTAAAAGGTGGCACAAATATAGGGGTGATTTTTAAAAATAGCCAGATTTACAACTGGTCGTTCAAAAATAGCCCAATTTCAAAAGTAATCCAAATTTAGCCACTTTTTATGTAATGATAAATCTGAGCGAAAACACTGTTCAAAACCCGGAAAATACTCCAGTATATTATGCTGGAGTTCCAGCATAAGTATACTTGAACTCCAGCATATTATACTGGAGTTCCAGGATAGTATGCTGGAACTCCAGCATAATATGATGGAGTTCCAGCATAAATACACTAGAACTCCAGCATAATATACTGGAGTTCCAGCAAGTATAATGGTCCAGTATAATATACTGGAGTTTGGAGCACCAGTGCTCCAGTCTCCAGTATATTATACTGGAGCCAACAAAGTATACCGGTCCAGCACAATATGCTGGAGTTCATACACAAGTGCACCGAACTCCAGTATATTATGCTGGACCGGTCTCTATTGCAGCAAAACGGTGGCTATTTTTCATTGACTTGGTAAACGCTGGCTATTTTTGATTGACCAGTCCGAAAACTGGCTATACCGTGAAATTTTGGCCAAATATAGGGTACGACTTCAAATCTACCATTATTTCTTATTGATTAATAATGGCCCATTTTGATTTTTTGTCCAATTTGTTTTTTTTAAAAAGGAAAAGTTACACAATTGACTGTTCGGCTAAAATTATTGATATTTGGTAGGTAGTATATATAATATAAATACTAAGTATACACACAATGAGACAGAAATAGTATTAAAGAGAAATATAGAAAAGGGTTTCTCCATTGGGATTTTTCTTTTACATTTTTTGAATACCAAAAAGGAAAATAAACCAGCTTTTAAGAGAGTAGAGAGTATTACAAGTCAATATCAGAAATCTGAAGCATTAACAATGAGACATGAAGGAATTAGATTCCATCTGTTATTGAGAGCTTAACTTCCTAGATTATATTTATCACGAGGCCAACAAAATTTGTGGAGATAAAAAGCTGCAGATTGCAATTATAGGAAAACATACATACTACAAGAATTCATACTTAAGCCAAAGATGTATGTCTCAATTGCAGTTAAGTAAGCTGAGCATATAAAAAAAAGGATCTGCACAAGGAACATATATAGATGCAAACCTTTGAAGAAATAGTTGGAAGCATTGCATTCCGTTCGCTTACTAATTTACCATCCCGCCAAAATGTCAATAGAAGTCCAGGATCTGTACATAGACACTTAACATCTTGACCAATTTTCTGAATCACTTCAAACCTCACCATTCCACCATCTATTAGTAGCTCATCACCCACTTTCACATCTGTAGCAATGCAATTAAGCCAAAAACAAAAAAGTGAAACTTCAAAATATTGATCTACCAATAAGCACTGGAAATGAAAACATAAGTTCTGCCTTTAAAAAATGTAAATTGTTTTCCCCATTTGGCGTAAAAAAAAGTTTCTTGTGTAAAAAACTTTAACAATTGGAGACAAGAAACCTCCAGAAAATGATTTTATGAAGCAAAATATTTTTTGTAAAAACATTTTGTGTCATACCACATATAGAACAGTTTGAGTAATAATAATATCAATTCTTACTTCATACCACTTGTATGGGGTCGGATTTGACCGATAGCGTCCCTAAGTCAGCACGACCAACCGCTGAACATATGTGAGCTCCGACAGAAGGACGACTTAGGAGTAACGGGAGAAACGA